CACACACGTTTTCAATGGCGGAACAGGAGAACTAAATTCAAACAGAAAGAAAAAGGGGGAAAAAGTATAGTACAAGTCTAGCTATTGTACAGTAAATGACTTAGGAGAGGAGGGGAGTTTTTACTCCTCACCCTGCCCCTGAGCTCCTCCTCTCCCACCTCTGACCCCTCATTGGAGTCCAACCACACCAGATCCACCGGGTGGTACTGAGTCTCTTCCCCCAGGTCAGCCAACAGCTGCCTGGTGGCCCTCTGCTCCTACAACAACCCTCCCAGCAGGCCCACCATCTGGGCCTGCCAACCCTCCTCCAACTTGCCCTCCTCCAACTTTTCCGATGCAGGCACTGCTATCTTCTTCCTCTTTGTTGGGTGCTCCACGACCTCCAACAACTCCAACAACTCTGACTCCACCGCCCTCCTCTTCCCCTTCATCAGGAAAACATGATCTTGCTATAGTTGGATATGGATAGGTAATTATGCAAATATAGCAATTGTGGCAAAAAATGCATCTAAAGCAATCTATATCAGTTTATAGTGAATCATATTGGAATAAATTTAGCAGCTGTGGCATGTATAGTAATTAGTTCCACCTAAAGCATATCAGAGTGGATTAAAGCATTTAGTGACACTATACCAAATTTAATTATTTATCACCTAGAGTCATAATTAATGAGGATGTTAGTTATATCAATCAACGCTACAAAATATATCTAGTGTAAAATTTTGCTGGCTATCTTGTATGTACATGCTAAGTTAGCCAGCGTGAATCTATCCTTGAAGCCAAAATTTAAAGTGCTTTTTGAGACATAAGTGAGCAAAGTGGCTAGCTCAATGTGTGGGAAAGTGTTCAATCGGAGCTTAAATATCCCAAAAAGCGGTCAAACCTCTCTATAGTGTTTTGTCAACTGTGGGAAAGTGCTACTGCGCTGCAGCGCAGTTGCACCTCCCTCCCTGTCACCACATTGTGTGACACAGTGGTGGCAACACCTCATCACTGTCTCACACAGTGCTGACAATGTTGCACAAATTTTTTAAAGTCTCACTATTCTACAAAGGTATCATTCTAGCCTGGCTACTAGTAGAGAGTAGTCAGACTGCAAAGTTTTTCTCACACCGGATTTAATTGCAAGTACCAGATGGAGATGGCTGCCACCCCAACACTGATGCCCTAGAAACAGTTTGTAAGCCCCAGTATGGTGTGTTATTGTTTGTTTATTCTGAATTACTATTCTGCTGAAGGCCATTTTTTACTAATGACAACTTCTCCATCACCACCTCCTTTAACCTAGACAGCCCCAGCAATGTTAACGTCAAAATAAAAAGGTCTTTTTTATTTATTCTAAACTAATAGGCGACTTTTTGATGACCTAATATGACAGCACTCAGCAGAAAAGATGAAAAATTACTCAGGGCTCTTCTGGCAAGAGATTACATATGAATGGCGATAACAACAATGATGAGTTTGGGATAATACATCAGGAAAACATGATTTTACTATGATAGGATATAGTGTGGTATGATTGGGTAATAGACCAAATATAGCATTTGTGGCAAATAGTGTGCTATAGATTGATATAGATGCTGAAGTGGTTATGTATAAACCTGTTTAATAAGTAAACACTCAGTACTGTAATAACAGACTGTATTAAATGTAGTACCTGTTTAATAAGTAAAAACTAAGGTAGAAGGTCAATAGATGTCTAACTTGAAAACATATTGTTGTGATGTCTCACCTCAGTACTGTAATAACAGACTGAGGTGTCAAGTGCTTGAACAAGGAGAAAATAGATGTTGCGGGAATATCTGAAGATGGAAAAGGAAGGAGTTTCCCGCCATTACAACTTTGTAAGTAATGTAAGTGTTTCTAGGTGGAGACTCAACTTTCATGAGTGTCGTCTAATGCTCCAACAGATGCCACTACTGTTACATATAGAGTACTTTTATTGCAATTAAAGCCAATCAGATCAGTTCAAAGTTGTCAATAATAAAATAATGGACTTCAAGTTACTATACTATAACAGATGAATTCTATAATACCATATTGTTTGGTGTTACGATTTCTATCCTCTCTTATGGACTACTCATTTTCCTTTACTCATCAGTTATACCATCGGACCGATGACTTATTTCCCTCACATATTTTCCCGTTCTCTTCGCAGTCACATTACCTTGTATAGTACTTAGTCCTCAATGGACGGACCTTCCCTAGATAGGACCTAACTCCTATCACCAATTCTATTCCCTATAAATACCTCTGTAACCGTAGTAGTATTTCTCTAATACAATTCTACGCAGTTTATGCTTACAAAGCTAGACTCCTAAGATCAGACCTTTACTCAGAAGAAGGCCAACTCTCGTTGGAAGAACTTTATTCAGAACTACGTCCTCGAACTTGTCTTCAGATAAGTCTCTTTGAAACCTCAACGAAACCTCAGACTTTGTTAAGCACTTTGTGCGTAACATTTGATATGCAAATTTATTAGCCCAATTATTAAGTAAAAATGATCCACAAACATCCAGCACATTATCTGTCCTCCAAGTAGACAGCCAAACACTTCCAGGTCCAGTGAGAGGAACCAGATGTCAACTTTGACATATGTTCCCCAGTAAAACAATAGCACCAGGTGCAACACCATTTGCCTGAGGGACTGGCTTGGTAACAATGTACATGTTATGAAATTGCCCAGGATTTCTAGATATTTTGTACCACTCCACGTAAACCAAAAGGCCTTTGGGCCATGAATAAGGTGCAATGTTGTAAGAATAAAGGATATCTTGGAGTGAGAATATGACCCTCAATCTCCCAACCTTTATCCCTATAGTGACATAGTAAGCAAAAAAGCAGTAGAGGGACAATACAGTTTGATGTACCTTGCAGGCCTCTTGCCTCTGCTTTATCAATATGTGCTACAATAACAGCATCAAATCTGCCCTCCTCTCCTCTTTTTCCAGGCTTGGCCTTTATACCATCCATATTTTGGATGCTATCTATATCATTACCCAGACTATCCAACACAAATTTGAATGAGTGCCAAATATTTAGACGATCAAATGGAAGCTGGGCTAAGGCTACTTGATTTCTAGGGATTGTATTCCCTCTGTCCATGAATTTGTTAAGGAAAGTACGTAGGTGACATGAGAAAGATGGACATTGATGACTTGTTTGAACACTTTTCAGTGTCTGGCCAGGGGAATGTGGATGTTTAGCCAGGAAAGTAGATAGGGGTTTGGATGAAGGCGATGAACTAGCCTCTATACCTCCTTCTAGCTCTGCCTGCTTCTCTTCTTCTCTCTTGTAGTTGTTCAGGTAGCTTTCAAACATAGCTACTTTCTCCTGCCTACTAAGCCACTGAGTCATCTGAGGAACTCTGTCACGGAAATTTGATGCCCTCCAGCATTCCTTGGCAAAATCTATGTGGAACATTTCAAATATTTCTGCGTTGTAATTGTTGTTGGTGCCAAAATTTCTAATACATTCAGCATGGTGCAGCATGGAGTGCAACTTGGGAATGTTGAGATATTCTTGTACCCCAAGATGGACAAGAATGTGCATGTTGGCATGGTAGAGATCCAAGGAATCTTCCAGGTATTGAATGGTGGTATTGTCATGGCTTGCATATTGTGCAATGTAGATAAAGTTGAGGAGTGCCCTATAACAAGTTACAACCTGAGAGGGGACCTTCCCTATAATGCACCCCAGTAAAATTCTTGCCATGTTTTTCTCTCCATCCCAGATATCTGGGATAGCTGTGACCAACCATGCTTGAAATGCCGTACACCAAAGCAAGGTGGGAGTCTACAAATGTGATCATCCAGCTCTTTGTTGGTCATCAAGCTAGAGCACCAGTGAATCAGATGTTTTACAACACCTTGGTAGAGTTGATGGATTATATCAGGGGTTATGGCCATGTGGACGTTGCAATGAGGAAACCCCTCCCAGACAGGATGACAGACACCCCCAGACACATTTTGAGCTTTGCATCTCTCCTGAAAATTGCTGATGGAGGTTGCATCAGCTTTGGCTGTTGATATAACCTCAGCAGTCTTCTTCTGGGTCCTCCATCTCCCTGGACGTCTTTCTCCAACAATATCTTCAGAGGCATCGCATTTAGGACAGGTCCCATATTTTGCACAGGTGACAAGACATTATTCTGGATAATCTGCTAGTAGCAGGCTAGGATGGGATGGATCCTCCTAACCCTTCCATCTCCCCCTGTGACTTCTATTCCATGCTTCAGAGGCTCTATCAGAGGCTCCAAGACTATGCACATTGAGTCATGAAAGAGTTGTTGATTACATGCTGACTTTTGCTTTTTGGATAGATTGTCTCCTACATTTTTGCTGACAGAGAGATAGGCAATGAGAATACAGGCGTGTTTGGAAGGTTTACCGCACATAGATCTGGGCAAATTTCCCAGAGTTAGATACACTGGATAAGCAGACTTGTTGCCAGAGAACTGGGTGAGTTGTGTCTTATCTGTGGTTATGATAACAGGGGCTACATAGGCACCTTCAGGTAAGTGATTCTAGATGGGAATATTATCATCAAATATCTGAAATAACACATTTAGATTCATGCCACCTGCCTGTACTGTATTCCACCAATCTCTGGTCCACATCTCATTGTAAATCCTGTGAGATTTTGATGCACTTGGGCCTGTAGACAATGTCCTTGGCATGAGCTGGATTTCCTAGCAAGGACTTGACAGCTTTAATAGGATCACGATGATAAACCATATGCTTATGCTCGGGACTATTCCTGAACCACAATTCTCTAGTTTTACAAGTAGCATGTTCTGGAACACGATTGACCAGCTTATGGAGCCCATATGTATTATGGTAGGATAGACCTAACTTACCCGCCACCTTTGTTGAAATAGATAAATCAGTATATGTGCTTGAAAAAGAGATCGAGGTGATGTACCCTTGGTATTGCCATTAATCTATCCAATGATTTATAGCCTATTCCATCCTGTACAGTCCAGCAAGCAACTCTCCAGTCTAGCTCTGATGCAAAGGGTGCAAAAATGTTCCCTGATCCATCTGATGTATCTGAATCCATATCCATATTACCATATCCTCAGCTCCAAATTCTCTCCTCCATCTTTCATATACTGTTTTATCCATCCTAATCACCTTGCCTGCAGTAGGGTGGGGTACCTCAATACGCTCCTCATCATCTTTATCAGGAAGCTTTGAGGGTCCAGCCATATTCTCCTCAGATTCTGTGGGAATAAGATCATAGAGACGATCATAGTAGTCATCCACCACATCTTCTGGGTCTTCATCCATAGGTCTAAGCTCATTAGGTAACATGTCAGGTATTTCCCTTATCTCTAAATCATTGCCCCTATCAAGTTCTCCTGGAATCATCGAACTTTGTAGCTTCCCTTTGTTATACCATTTGCAGCTTCTTGCTAATGACAAATAGCATATCAGACCCTGGGGAGTTTTAAGCTTCTTGTGACAAGCAGGACAGATTGTAGGATCCTCTCCTGCAGACTGGGCAGATGTGAGCTTAACTTGAACGTTCAAAGCCTGAAGTACTGATTGTAGGCCAACCATAATGAGATGCTAGAGGTAGAGAGGGAGGCACCTACTGGATCAGATGGATGGGCATTTACGCAACAAGCACAATGACGGCAAAGGTCAGTGAGGCAAAAATACAACAGTCTGAATACATATCATTGAATCTAAAGATTACACGTAAAGCTACAGACTACACTGTGACTGATAGCAATACATTATATAGGCACAGTTCAGGATTTGTTCATAATCCTAAAATAAAAGGCAAAAAAAGTAAAAGGAGGTACTTTTTTTGCCTGCTACGGGTGTGTGTTGATCTCAGGCGCTTGCTGACAGGATCCTCCCCTTCATTTCCATCTGAAGTGTGTTTAGTTCTACTTAAAGGCTTGCTGGGCCCAGATATGGGTGGGTCTGGGGGACTGTGATAGTTGACAGGCAAAGACAAGAGAGATGGTTTCCTCACGTCTTGGAGCTGCAGCTGGTACCTCTCTCTTCTAGCAGTGATAACCTCCACAAACGCTCCCACCCTATCAGACCCCTATCAGACTCAGGCTCAATACTGTTCCTCATTATCACAACACAATGGGATCCGCACCCATGTACAGTGATTCTGGACCTTCTGGGCATGCAACCAATCAGTATGCTTTCCAAGTACGCCTTGGTAGCTTAGTTGGTAAAGCACCAGACCATGAAAGCTGGAGTCCCAGGTTCAAGCCCTGGCCAATGCATGTTTTCTCATACTATAAACAAATGTCATAATTTGTCACTCATATCTTTCACAATATCCACCATCTTCTGGTGTGAAATATATTTGAGGGAAGGACTATAAAGCATATTGCCATCACCACTAAATGTTTCACTCCACATGACACTGAAAAGCTTGACCATCCCTGCCCTGACAGAAACATGCCTGCAGAAATAAGGGTTGATGTATGATATAAAGTGTAGGTGCAAGAGCATAACTTTTTCCATTGCTACTGTGCTGGCGTCAAGCGTGTGGCACTCCCATTTGACCCAGACAGGAATATTGTCTTGTTTGCTGTGAGAAGAAAGTTGCAACTGATAAGATGGGATATTCAGAATGCCTCCCTTAGTACCGTTTCTGGGGAGATCCTCTTGGTAACCAGAGGTACTGTGATGCTGATGAGATGATGACTTTGGAGGCTTCTGAGATGCTGAGCACTTTAATGATGCAGGTACTTTGTCAACCTCTGCTGCAGCCGTTTTCTTCTCTTTCTCAACCCAGTCAATTTGCTGACAGTAGGGACCTTTGCAGTTAATCATGATCAATCATAGCATCCAGAAAACAGACTCTAAGTTGTGGATGTAATTGTGTGGTACTTCAGGCTGTAAAATCCTCCCTATAGCTTGGTAAGGATAAGTCCCCTACATTCAGGACATATCAGTAAAGATTCTAATATAATTGGTTTTTAAATCCTCACTATAAGATATTTTGTGGTCCTAACCATGTTTCTATCTTGAACGTCTTCAGCCATTGCCCAATCTCCTAAGACACCAGAACATTGAATACCAGTCATTACTGCTGTTGATGGGCCAATCTGGGACAGCAAAATGGGGCAAAGCAGCCTTGGCTCAAAGCCATGAATTGTCATCGCTAATGTCACAATGAATGAGACCACGTCTTATGTAACCATTCTGAAGGCCTGCATAGCCAGCCAGATATTAGCAAGTGATGAGATGAATGTAAATAATCCTTGGTTTACCAAGTAAAACACCAATAATCCCATCCAGCATTTCACGTACACAGGAAAACCACACAAGTTCTACCCCCAACTGTTTTTATGGCCATGTGATGATGTGTACGGTCCTCCAAGGCTGCCAACTCTGCCAACTTTGAAACTCCAGCAGCACTCATAATGACTTTGGTTGTGTCCTGAATAAGTGTCTCAGGATGTGCAATAGATAGCACAAGGATTGAGGATGGTGAAAGACAATGGTCTCATATTAGAATTCCAGACAAGGAGTGTATGTCATCCCAACCAGTGTTTGCCCTATCATATAAGGCATCCACGTCTGGGTGTCCAGCTAATATGATGTTGTCAAAAAATGCAAGAGGTTGAGATGTGTGATTGTCGGGAAAATGAAAGATGGGTGTGGAGTTGCTTAGATTGTAGCCTACCAAGAATGGATCCCTTGCAAGATCTTCTAGCTTGTCGTGAATGTTGCTGTCGGAAGGTGTACCAGTGGTTAACCAACAATCCTTGATGATGACATAATCAGGATCTTCAAGTGCATGAGGCCCATCACCAGAGACCTCCGCCACCATAACCCTTATGGCTCTTCCTAACAAGCCCATTGGCTTGAAGAGGATTGCAACAACTTTACAGAGTAGAGTGGCTGCACCTTACTGAACATGAAACACTGGCACACCCTCATGGTCATAATACATAGCATGGTCATAGCCTAGCTATCCAGTTTGTGAGTAATGTAGGAAGATCATGGTCCTGATGAATAGCTCTGGGTATCTGTTGATACCAAATGGTGAACTGGTAGCATTTCCTTCTCTGGTGAATAATAATATCCTTAGCATTGGCCCACAGAGGGATAGTCCAACATAATATCTCCTGGAAACTTGCTCACAAAGGACAAATAATGCTGTACCTGCCAACTGTCTTATGGCAAAGTTGACAAGATGAGGAAAGTCTGCGTATTTGACCTTGCACGTAGAAAATAGGTATTGCCAGGTATAACCCCCATCCACAACATCATCAATAAGCATTAGGTCTGGTTTGCATCTATCACAAACCAACCTTTTTGCAGATGACACCCATTAACGTGAATTCCTGATTGAAGAATCTATCAAAACTGACTGCAAGTCATCATCAACAACCTAACCCACATTAAGCTAACAGGTAAAAATCACTCTGCAGATAAATTGCTCACCTTGTTAAAGAATGACGCTATTTTGTCCTCCTGCCTTTTCCTGTATTCTGTGTAAAAATATGGGGAATGCTCCTGACACCAACCACGCATAATATATCCACCAGGTCCGGGGCCTTTGGTACCCAAAAAATTGACAAGTTCTTCCACAATGGATGCCACAGTCTCCTTCAACAGGCTGTCAGAAAGCCTGGTATCTTGGGCAAGGATCCATTTTTGCATGGTCAGGGATGACTGAGGGTGAGCATGAGCATCAATAGCATGAGAATCTAGCTCGCTGGAAAATGCCTCAAGAAATTGGCCATCTTTTATCCATTGTTTCAAAAGGTAGGATACATCTGGGATCTCGTGGGGTTTCTGGAGCTGCTCAGAAAGGAACACATAAAGGTAATCCTTTAAGTTGTAATATTGACCTTTTTTTTGTGACAATCAATGAAATTATAGATCACATTTGAATTGGCCCAGAGTGGCATAGGTGGTGACTTGAATATATGATCAAAATCCATGGCTTGTAAGTTGGAATAGCTATGCACACTTTACTCTTTGTGTATTTTAATATCCATCACCTTGTGAGTTGCAATTTTATTCAGATTATGTGGCCATACAAAAGATGACAACTATTTCTCCTTCAATCAACTAGTAACCTTTCAGTGAAAAATGAGAGGCTTACCCTGTATCTGTAGCTCAGATTTATTTGTGAAGCTTGGGAATTGGCTGGAAGTCCAGTGTTACGATGGCCATGTCCCAACTACAAATTGGGTAAGTAAAATTTTTCCCACATGCAGAATAGGGTGTCATGCACGTGTCTGAATTTATCAAGTAATTGCATTAGAAAACAGAGAGAAATCTGTCAAGTAGAATGTTAGTAATGTGTGCAAATCAGCGTGAAGGGATTGAGGGGTGTCTGCAGTTCTCTGAGTGAGTAAGATATATCAGTCACTTCTATCTCTGATAACCATTAATAGGTTCGTATTTCTGGTCCCATTCCTTTCATAATACCATCAGGAATAGCTGACCATTGCATAGACCAGGACCAGAGCTCCAGAACTACACTCAAACTTTGTACAAATAGCGTGATTTGACTGCAGCAAGGTTGTAAAATGGGCGTGAGAATGTTGTCCACAACATGTGGCGGGTAGGGTGGGAGGTGCAACTGCACTGCAGCGCAGTCACACCTCCCGCCCTAGCATCACATTGTGTCACATAGCACCAGAGAACCTCTCAGCAAAAAGTCTCAAAATACAAGACTCACACAAAATCTTCGAAGTTTTGCTATCCTACCAAGATGTTAAGATTATCCTAACCTGTTCAGAGAGTAGCCAGGATCAAAACATGCAACTAAAAAAAAGACTCCAAGATCTTCTCTCACAGGATGCCGGACCTCCTATTCAATTGCAAGGACCGGATGGAGATAGGCCACCCCTCAGCACAGATGCCCTAAAAATGATGTGGCTTTAGTAGCCGGTAGCAGATGGAAAATTAGCAGGAATGTTGCACGCACCTCAACTGCATCTTTGGATGCCATCATTTCCACCATGGCCACAGCTCATTTTGACCCAATTTCCCTCAGTCCTGCTCGATGGATCAATAATATCAAGACCTTTATTTCCTGTGGGACTTGGCAGGGATCTGGGCTCAATTGTTTGGAGGACGCTGTTTTGCTCTGCTCTTGTTTGATTAGCCATGAGGTAAATGTGTCTTTCATGATGATGGTGAGCAAGATTAATCTTGCTGTGAAGACTCACAGGTAAGTGCAATGTTATAATTACATTTTGAATGTACACGCTTACATGAACTTGAGCCTGCTAAGTGCTGCAGGTCCTTACCAAAACCTCAAGGGCCTTGCTGGATGTCCCACTGAGCGTGCATTCTACCAGTGGGTCTCAACTGGCTGGAAGTACATGTAAATTGCTGCCGGTGGGATAATCTACTCTCTTGTCCTCATCGCTGGCCTCAACATGCATTGGACATTGAGTAGGGTGGGCTTTATGGTGCTGTGGGAGGTTGAAAAGGTGCTGAGGGACCCTGGAACAGATGGTAAGTCGCTTTGTCCTCCTCCTCACCCCTCTCCCATCCCCAACAAGCAGCTACTCACTTTTTATAAGGTGTTTATGCTCTTGTACATGCCCAAATTATCCCCACCATTGTGCACCTACACCAGTCCCTCCCACTTAGCTTCCTGGGCCTTTTCCTCAAGAAAATCTTTGATTGTACATCTCTCAAAGATGCGGACAGGCTGTTCAATTCTGTTAAACTAAAGTAAGTCTTCAATTTCACTTACAGTATATTCCTGCTAATATCTATCTATGTTGTAGTATGTTTTGCTTACCCAAATACTCACGTCATGCATGGAAGAACCACTTTCTCTTTGGGCCACCCAGATGCCATCAAAACCCACCCAGACGCCTTTTATGATGGACGATGCAATGGATGACGCAATGGACACAATCCCAACCCCTTGCAGGATCAAGACAAAGTTTCAGCACCTTGCAGAACGTAACATTGCATTTCCAGCCAGCCATGACCGCTCAGAAAACTATTGGTGGACAATATCTGAGCGTGTCTTACCATGCAATGCTCCTGCCATCACAGATATGCAAGATTTGTCTGCCAAGGTAAGTTCCAGTCACTTTCCTATGCTCCTTTCTTATGTGACACTTGCTATACAGCTATCTACATTTTATCCTAATGGATGCAAAAGGGATAGAGTTTATATGCATTCCCATGTCATCTATTCCTCCAACAATTGATATACAAAATGACAACAACACATTGATGGTGTTCATATGCCATTCAATGCCTAGGCATATGAAGACAACTCTAGTGGCCCACCTCAAAGCTAGCTTTGATGGGTTGCCAGTATTCTCCAGCATTCTTGGTAATGTTGAATGTTTCAAATGTCTCCACTTCTCCTGGTGGAACAGATATCGGACTTAGGTATGTTTCCCCTCTCTCTATATATACATATCACTCACATAAGGACATTGATCAAGGGTTATGGGGCACCTATTGATGTGCACCCACATGAATTAGACATCACTAACAAAACCCAGATGATCCCTTATTTGTCAAAGGAGGGCTCAGACAATGAGCAGCTTGATTTGAACTTGCAGGATGCTTTTGCAGATGTTTTCCAATGGATTTCTGACATTGTAAGATTTCTGCTATTTTTTTCATGCCTAAATTTCTCTGATATATGTGTTTCCTAGATGGAATTCTGCCTACCAGAAGAATACTCTATGCTAGCCAAGATAGTTAATATGCTCCCTGGAAAACCAGGATTTCCAGTCACTCCTTTTTTATCTCTTGTTGTTAATATTAATGTGAGCACCACCGCTCATAGGGATGGTAAGGATCACATCCTTTGTCCTGTTCTTCCACTGGGAGATTTTACAGAGGGTGCTCTTGTGTTACACAAGCAGAGACTTGTTTTTGAACTGAACAGTGGGGACTTTGCCATTTTTAGATCCAAGGAGTCAACGCACTTTAATTTAGATGATCAGGGTGAGAGAGCCTTATTTGTCTTACACACAGATGGTCAGTTTAAGAATTGGGTAGAAAATAGGAATAGTTAGGAGGGGAATGCATGCTTTAAGTATATGTAGCTTAAAACTTAATATCAGTTTATTTGGGTTGCTTGTTTTGACTAATAGGTTTTGGAAGGGATAGAGGGGAGGGGATGCAGGTAATGTGTCATTTTTTGGGTCCCAGTATGGTTTGTTTTTGCTTATTTATTATGAATTACCATTTTGCTGAAGACGCATTCAGGTTTTGCCATTTTTGCTTGTTTTTTTTTGAGGATTTCAATGCCTAGAGTTACACGGTCCAAATAATCTATCGCTCTCAGAACTAGGGGCAGAGGTGTAGCAAATAATCTAGTGACAGCATCTTCTCCATCACCACCTCCTTCAACTCAGCCTAGACAGCCCCAGCCACGTCAAAATAAAAAGGTCTTTCTTATTTATTCTACACCAATACCTTACTGTTTACAATTTTCAGGCTATTTCTGCAAGACCTAATGCCACAGCTGCCACAGCACTCAGCAAAGAAGATGAACATTTGCTTGGGGCTCTTTGTAACAACCAAGAGTTTGTTACTCCAGCGCACAACTCAGACAAGCTATAGAGATAATGATGAGGGAGTGGTTATCCTTTAGGATTCAACAAGTTAGTTGTGAGGATACAACAGGAGGACTCGCTGAGGACTCTCCTTGATCTATTGGGGTATATATACTACTACAGGTTTGTTTGTACATATGTACTATACAGTTGATGAAGGCAGTGGCTGATGATGTCAAGGGCACAGCCCATGTGACCAGCTCCACTGTGTGAGATACTTGTAGCTAAAATAGAAAAAAAGGCAGTGCAGCACGAGAAAGAGGAGTTTGAACAAAAGGGAAAGTGCCACATGGCACAATGAGTGAAAACTACAGAAAAGGGTTAAAGATGAGAATGAAAATTGAAGGTCCGAAAATGTGTTATCGTAAAACTCTTCTAGCAAGAAAAAAAGCTGCATTAGCCTCAGAAGCTGAGGCAGAGAAATCTGGTATGTGATCTTACTCTTAAGGGCACAAAAACTGAATACCTATTTGCAGCTACGTGTAAGAGAGTAGCAAAAATGTTGGCTGATGAAGAAGATTCTGAAGGAGACAACCTACATGGCAAGAAAATATGTCTGAATGGTGATGATAATGACAACAATGATAATGAGGATGTTGCTGATGATGATGACAATGCTGATGATGGCAAGAATATGATAGATCATATTCTGTGTCCTGCAGAAATATCTAGTGATGATCTAGATAATTCTGTAGTACCTCCTTTATAGCCTCTATTAGATTATGATGATGATGATGATCAGGAGGAGGAGGAGGAGGACAACAACAACAAAAGTTCCCCAAAAAGAGTTGTGGATGATAATGAGGTAAGGATATTGTTGCCTTGAGAGCATTTATTTACTTGCCTACAGGTTGTAAGAGGAACAGATTGTCCTACTGTTTCTACATCTATGTCTACTATGTCACGTAGCCCCAGCATCATTTCTCTTCCAAAATCTTCCACTGTGAAACCAAAGCTTCATTCTATGGCCTGCCCTATCATCAAACATATTGCAAGCCTGGCTCACAAAGCTATGAGACTTTTTACAGTTACAGAAAAAGGATTTCCAAACCCCCTCAGTCATTAATCAATATGCTGGGATTTGTTGGTCAAAGCCACAGCAGCAGAAAATGATAGTGGCCTAGTGGACAAAATGAAGGAGATACAAGAAGACCAGGTCCTCAAGTTTCAACTACTACAATACGTGAGTTAAAATTTCTTCATATATATCCATACTTATTATCACCATAAATACAGATGTGGAAAGGTTCTACACAGGTCAGAGGGGAACATATTTCCAAAGCTAGAATCAGTGTACCACCTACGTATAGCATCAAAAACATCCACAGGGACAAACTAAGTGATACAATCTATTGGATCATAAACTTAGGAGCGTTTATCAATAACAGCATAGATTTATGACAAAACCGGATAAACCCGGTCTCTGCCAAAGCAGCCATTGTTCTCCATGGAGCATAGCCACCACTCCATGGAGTAACCATTGTTCTCCTAGGAGCACAATTGTACTCCTAGGAGTCATTATACTGTAGCGAGTAGCACCTCCGACTATAAGTAGTAGGGGGTTTAGTATAGGAATACCTCAGTTGTTTCTATAGCCTCTCGGGCAGCGGCTGAGGTATGTTACATTACATTTATTAGAGATCACCTTAAACTAACATCTATTGTAGTTTCACTTAGGTAAATAATAAAGTCGTTTTTATAGCCTCTCGGGCAGCGGCTGAGTTTCACTTAGTTTTATTAATTTAAAGGTGAGTTATTTTAAAGCTTTATTGTTATACTTATACTAACTGCAAATATACAGGAGAAGGTGTCTGACACAAACCAACCTTAGAAGAAAGATATCATCAGAATTCTGTTTCAAGCACCATGTTGGGGTCCCAAAGGTGAAAGTAGAAATTATGGTAGAAAAATAACCCATATCTACGCAATCTCCCTATTTTGGCTCTAGTAGCATGCTCTGTAAGTGTTCACATCTTTCTTTAAGTAAAACTGACCATCAAATTTATTTACCAGATTGAATGTGCTCTACTAGGTGCTATTAACAACACTACAATAGAATTCTCAGAGACAGCATTTTCTGCTAGATATGTCACCTTAATCACCATAAATCTGTACTAATTATACTTTTACAAGGTGGAATCATCATATGAGGTTGTTGGAAATATTTCAGAAATGTTATCCTATATACTTGGCAGCTGTATTTGATAAGGTTGATGAATATGTTTGGTAAGAGCTTACTACAAATTCATTATCATTCAAACCTTTTTTTTAACCTCATTTATTTTTGTAGGAATGATTGTATAACAGTGGGGCAATCTGATGCATCCGAGCCTATGTTTTATTTTGATGCCCTAGAGGAAGCAGCAAAAGCATCCAAATCATAATTACAGATACTACAATAGTGCTGCAGCATTTTAAATATTTAGAATCAATATAATTTGCTTTATTAGTGCTTTTTCTTGGATATAATTGAGAATGGATTGATATAATTGCATTTAGAGTAAATTATAGTAAACTATAGTGAAAAAGTGCAAGGTCATTTTTGTTTTAATGACTGTGCTATAAACCACTTTTGATGATATGGCAATACTCTAAACTGCGTAAATATTAATAAAAATGATATTTATTGGTATTTATGCAGTTTAGAGTAAGGGACTGTGCAAGAATCACACTTACGGATATAAGAGATATTTTTGCTATTATAGCGTATAAATGCAATATGCATTTATATCTAAATCATGTTTTCCTGATGTAATAAGGTAAGAATATTGTTTTCTCAAGAACATTTATTTACCAGCCCACAGGTTGTAAGAGGAAAAGGTTGTCCAACTGTTTCTACGTCTACTATGTTTACTTCTATATCATGTAGCCCCAGCATCGTTTCCTTCTTCATGAAACTAACAATCAAAACTGTTTACCACATTAAAACTTTCTTCTCCATACTTGGCAGCCCCATTAATGAGATCAATGAATGCATTTGGTAAGGACTCACTACAAATTTACATTGAAACTTTTTCTTAACCCCACATATTTTTGTAGGAACAGTTGAAATCTGATGTTTTTGAGGTTATATTTGATTTTATGTTTGATTTTGATGCTCAGAGGAAGCAGCAAAAGCATCAAAATTATCTTTATAGATATTACAATAGTACTGCAGCATTTTTAGTACTTGGATGAGTATAGATCAATATTATTGCATCTAGAGTGAATTATAGTGAATTATAGTGAAAAAGTGCAAGGTTATTTTTGTTTTCACAACTGTGCTATAAACCACTTTTGATGATATAGCAATACTCTAAACTGATATTTATTGATATTTATCCAAGTAGGGGACTGTGCAAGAGTTGCACTTATAGATATAACAGATATTTTTGCTATGATAGCATATATTTTGCATTTTATTGCATTTATCTTTAAGTCATATTTTCCTGATGTAGTATTCCTCGTGGACTCTGTAGTTAAACCTTATGATACACTCCTTGCACATACATTCTCCTCTCGCTAGATAATTGTCTGCATGAAACTCCATACCTACATTACAAGTTACTCCTTACAAGCTCCTGCTCCCCCGACAGTATATAAGCTGTAACTCCTGTACTCTGTTCCTGCAGTTCAAATATCAATTAAATTCCCTTGCTTTCTTACCAGTCCTTTTCTAAGTCCTTTCTGATCCTTCTCCAAAAGATCTTTACTCTGCTCCTTTTCATCCTCTACTTCTCCTCCATCCACTTCCAACAAGCTAGGGACCCAGGTCCGTGGAAGGGTCTAGCGCACAAGCTAAGTCAATTCCCCATCTCGTCCTCCATACTCTGTTACTCCAAAGAGGCCATGGTTCTGACAAGGGCAAACTTACTCAATTACCTAGGCATGGATTTATCCAATGTATGACGGACGTCTGGCATGGAAATGTATGCCCAACATTTCAAGGGCCTGATGGGAAATGATTTTTTGAAGCACCCAAGGAAGATCAATCCATTGGTGTTATCTATATGGTGTGTATGAACCTTCCTGTACATCTACATTATCGTGTAAAAAATGTCTATCTTGTGGTCATCATTCCTGGACCATCCAAACCATCTGTCCATCAGCTCAATCATCTACTGTGCCCTCTAATCAACAATATGTTACGGTTTTGGACATTGGGTGTAGGGTGTATATTTGTCTCAAACAGCAGCATACATCATTAGGCAACTTGTCAGGTGTGCTATCATATCTCTGGTTTGTGATATCCCTCTGCCCTTTGTAAAGTGGGTGGATTTATGGGACATAGCGGTAAAGATGTTTTTTGTTCTTTTTGCTTACTTGCAAAGGATGATATTGCAAACTTTGACTACCTTAACTGGCCTCGCAGGACTTGGGAGGAACATCTGAAGAGGGCAAAGCAATAGAGAGGTGCAACTAGTGAGGATGAGTGATATAATACATGGAAATCACACTCTATTTGATGGACTGAATTACTATGTCTACCGTATTGGAATACGATGATATTTGCAGTATTAAACGCCATGCACAACCTCTTTCTTGGAGAATTGAAACAACATCTGACTATGATTTGGGGGATGTCAGCAGTTGGCGGAAACCCTGAAGACTCTTCAAAATGCATGCCCCACACTCCAGCAGAACAAGCCAAAAAAATTGAGGGCATGATAAGAGCACTACAGGAGCAGTCAGCTTCCCACCTCTAGGATTTTTGTTTAGGCTATCTGGTTGTGCTAGCTCAAACGAATGGAATAACTGTGGATCAGGTAATCATCAAACCTGTCAAAATGGACTGCGCTAATGCTCTTCTACATTGGGTGTGTACCAATCCAGTATTAGTTACTTCCATAGCTAAAATAGTGATCTACATGAAGTATTCAGCCAACCCTGGTCACTTAAAAGCACCTGCTCCACACAACAAGCCTATTGTAGACTTGTCTAAATCAATGTCCACAGGAAATGCTATCATGAACAAAGCTAATACTTCAAGAGGTTTGGAAAGACATGGCGAAGACTGTCGTCATTCTATCATGGCTCACTAGAGCACTGCGGAATCTTGGTAGCACCAACCAAGGTTTTGTCAAAGCTGATTTGTGGTGTACAGCTTGTACTGTTAATCTTGTAATCACCCTAATCAGGCTGTGGGGACTTCTTTAACCCGATAAACTAGAACGGCAAATGCTCAAGAATTATCTCGATCTTGTTATAGGCGTACACTGGGCAACAATGCGCTCTACTTCTGTGACGCATATACAAATCATTCAACAGTCTTTCCTCCATTATCTCACTATGCTTGTTTCACTATACTCTGAAAAGGTGCTAGTGGTGAATCATCACCTTTCACTGCACTTGATCGAGTGCATGGAATCATTCAATCCGGTACATGGCTGGTGGTTGTTTCCATATGAACATTATATTGGAATGATGCAGAGAACCCACACAAATAACAAACTAGGTGAGTGTTCATACTATGTTATGGGTCGCTTTCACAAATTTACCATTTTATTAGGCAAAATGGAGCTGACTTTTTTTTCGTCTTTTTGTTGGGCAAGTCATATAAAGGCATTACTTTCCCAAAGCGGAATTCCAGACATCATGTCACAACAGAAGATCTCCTTTGAAACATAATTTGGCTCAGATTTCCATGGCACACTCTTAAACAATCTACACAGTATGAATGAAAACGAACGGCCAGAAGCCAATAGTCACAAAAATGTGACGCTAGAGCTTCTATCTCCTGATGTGTACCAAAACTTGTTATTACAACTCCAACAAGACCAGCAAGATTTCAAGTACTGTGCAGAAAATGTGCCTTTGCACCAGGAAGAGATGCTTGTAACATTCATGGTACAGCTACAAAGGCACAAAGTACACCAATGGAAAAAGGTTGCTTGGGGACTCGATGATTCTATGTTGACTCAGTTCTGGCCATGAGATGCATGCAGCAAAAATACGGAATATCTTTACTCATTCACGGCCAGGACCAAATCAATCCACAATCTCAGAATACTTCATCATCAACATGTATCAACCCTTGACAGAGCTAAAAGTTAAATTTGACATTTACAGATGACATCCTTTACTTGATGTCTGTCTTTATCACGATGAGCTATCAACGAAGTCAGCTCTTATCAAGTCTTGTGATATTGTCAGTCATTTTGCGAGCCGCAAATATAATCACCACAATGATAATCTCTCTGGTAAATATTGTATAGTTTTTTTTGTTGGATAAGGTAAGTTCTGACTTGTAGCCTTCTTAGCCTAAATGCTAATAAATCAACAATTTAGAATTAATCAAGGATGAAAGAGGCACCAATGGGTTGTAATTCTGGATTCTGTGTTTGGAATATATCAATATTGTTTTCGATTTACAGTGCAATGCAGCGACTTACCAGAGTTAAATAAGAGAGGGAGCAGCTCTAAACAGCATGATGCAGAGCTGAGCCGAGCTGAAAAAGCACTCAGAAGCGCACCAGCGTGAGGGGCAGTGATGCACAAAATAAGTGACAGCACAGAGCATCAGCGCGGCTGGTACAGGCTAGGTTTTTTGTGTACAATCTGTGAACCAGCCATGGCTGGTTCAGCACAGGAATCTTTCATCCTGAACCTGTAAAAGAAGAACAATGATTTTTTCTTTCTGTCATGATGTAGTGCCGCTGCAAAACCTACAAAATAAAAGAAACTATTGTGGCGGTAGCCAAAGCTGACCTACACCAAGGTTTTCGTCTCATGTTAGGTCAAAGCTGTTCCAAAGCTTCACCAGTGTTTAGCATCCTGAGTAGTAAATGGGACGTCAATGTGTGGGGCAAGTTTTGAACTGTGGCTATTGTAGCTGCTAGTCGGGCATTGGCCCTGAAGCCAAAATTAAGATTTGGCGCCAGAAAGGAATTCACGAGCAAAATTAAATGTTTGAGAGCAGAGAAACTACATTGTAACATACACACATCTAATAACATTGGTAGGAGTCCAGATGATTCATCATTTACCAACTCATGATGATACCAACCAAGCACCTTGCAGTTGAGTGTGTTGTACTTGGGCGGTTTTTCAGTGAAACCGGCGCTGCGGCTGAAATTTTCATGTTCGAGGGTGGATCAGGCTTGAGTCAGACAGTCTCTTGCGCGGTCCTGCCTGCTGATGATGATCAACACCTCAGGCGTGGCTGTGCTAGCTCGGCTTTTGCCCTAGAGGTCACACCTGTCACATCATGCATCACATGCATCACATCACACCTATATAAGCAATTTTCGCTTTTTTTCTGGTTTGCCATACTGCAATCGATACCACTACTATGCCTCGCCTCGCCAACTTGCTTTTTACTTCCATTACCCCATCTTATCTTCCAAGTCACTTGACATCGTATGTCCCAGGGAAGACACCGCTTTCAACTTGGCCTGTAGTTTTCACGACTCTCGTTTCATACCTTACTGTTGTCTTCGGTATACGTGTGCTGATGAAGGACCGGTCTCCTTTAAAGCTCAACGCCTTGTTCCGCATTCACAATCTATTCCTCAGCGCAGGAAGCCTTGTGTTATTGGTTTTGATGCTCGAGGAGGTCGGTTTGGTATGGTGGCAAAGTGACACATACAGTGTGATGTGCGCTGATAGTTCATGGACCGATGTAAGCCGTTATGGTTTCCTCACTCAATTTTCCCGTGTTGAATACTATTTAAGAGGCTGGAATTTTACTATATGATCAATTATTATTTCAAATATATAGAACTTTTGGATACCATTTTTTTGGCATTCAAGAAGAAGCCTCTAGGTATGTGTGTTTTCCGTTATTTCCTGTCACAATTGACTGATATTTCTTCCTTCGCTAGCATTTTTGCATGTATTTCATCATTCTGCTACAGCTCTTCTCTGCTTTACACAACTAAACGGCAAAACTAGTATTGTGAGTTCCCCTGCATTAAGCCAAAAAAAGGATGTTGACAAGTGTCGTTTTTAGTCGTGGGTCGTCATCACGCTGAACTTGGGCGTGCATGTTGTCATGTGTTTGTTTCAATTTTTTGATGATAATTTCTTTTCCACGTGCTGAATCAACGCAGACTATTACTACTATGCTACTGCAGGTGGAGCCAAAATTTGGGTTTGTACATGGATTTAAACTTCTTGCGCGTCGCTTCTCATCTTTGCTGCTCAGTGGAAGAAATATCTCACGACAATTCAAATCGTCCAATTTGTGATCGATTTATTTGTAGTTTACTTCGGAAGTGAGTTATCCTATTCATGTCGCAAATGACTTCAAGTGCTAATCAAATATCCCCCGCTAGCCTATCAGCACTATGCCTTCACTCACGCTCCTCACATGCCTCACATCGGAAATTGTGCTGGCACTGAGAGTGCTGCATTATTCGGCTGTGGTCTTCTATCTAGTTATCTGATCCTCTTCATCAACTTCTACATTCAAACGTATAAGAGACCAGCAATACAATCAAGCTCGCGCGGGAACGGAACTGTCAGCCGCGATATTATGAATGGCAATGGGTGCGTGCGTCTTCACTCCAGTAATATTTGCCCACCACTTACAAGGTCGCCAGCAGACACAAACTGGATTAACATAACCATGGGTTGCCCTTATCTCATAAACGTTCGCTATACCCATCTCATCTATTGCCTGCTCTCATTTATCACGACGGTCAAAACGGCTAGGTATAATTTGTTTATGACTACAGTTAGTACACAGCCAATAATTATAGTCGTCTCTGCGCAAGATGTGTGCAATGGTCACCCCATCCTATGTCACCTTTCGCACTGTACATCAGAGAACCTCGGAAGTGCACCTGGTCCTCCCACACTTGAGATTGAGGAGAATTTTCACCCTGCGAAATATGATTGAAAATTGTAACCTAAATATAATATTTATATCACCAATTTACCTACCAAAAAGTTCATATTTGCCATCAATAGAAAAATCCATTCAAGATATAGTATTCTAGCAAATATTTAATCCTCTACACAAGCAGAAATGTTGCCTTGGTGAAATGTGTTTATAACGTTCAAAATTGACTTGGATATCTATTATTTTGCGAAATCTGCCATGTAAAACACCTCAAATGACAGTGCAAATATGTACTTTTTGGTTCATGTGTTCAGTCATATCAAGATAAAAAAATTCATTCTCATTCTGGTAGCGAATGAAATAAGTCATTTCAAGGCCAATGAAATGTGTCACCCACTTGTTGCCTGCTGATCACCTGGTAATCACACATGCAGTGTACAACGTCAGTGCATACAGTATATTTTGCAGTAGTCTATTCACACTCAATACTATTTGCTACCTGTGAAATTATAGTAATTACATTCAAAATTCTTAATCTGAGTGCGTCATTTGAGATATCCAACACTCATCCTGCCCACTTATCCAGGTGATACTTCTGTTTTGCAATTTTGATGACATTGTGGAACTCAGAAAAAGATCTTGCTTTGACAAAGAATGCATCTACGCTGTCCCAGTATCTTGCAGTGTCACAGTGCTAGGGTGTGCAAGAATAGACCTAGGGACTTCTTTAGTTGAGGGCAAGATATTGTATGTGTTACTATTAACGTACCAGCACCTATTTATGCTTTACTTTTTTGTACTTTTACTCTTCATTTTGCAAGTCACGTGACTGATCACGTGACCATTTACTTTACTTTATGTTTCGGACTTTTTATAGTCACATGACCGATCATGTGACACATCACCTGACCAGTGTCTAGACTCAACATGTGACTGGTCACATGCTAGATATCAGACTTTAAACTTTATTTACAACTATACAGTACCTCATGTATTGTAGTATATATACCTGAGCAATACATGGGGAAGGACTCAGCAAGTCCTCTCCTAGTGTATACCAACATTGGTGAAGACAGCCTCCCTCCTTTGATAGGTTGTACCATTATTCCTTGAGTTGTAGCCTTTGAGGTTGTGCTCCAGTGCCCCAAGATTGTATCTTTTTGGTGTTGTCACAGTATGTATTGAAGAACTTCCAAACTTTGATGAACCAGAGGATAGCGCACAAATTGGTCCACTGGCCGTCCAGACCATCCACTAGGATCTGCCTCTTCTTCGAGTGATGCTGTTGTTTTTCCCTCCTCAGCCTCTCCTATTCCCTATTATTCCTCTGTAGCTCCGCTTGCATGGCGGTAAGTGCTTCTGCTTCTGCTAACACTTTCTTGTCATTAAACCTCGAACATTTTACCTCCATATTTTTCCATTGTGTATCTCAAGCCATGTTCAAGTTCTGTTGTTGCTTGAAGGTACTGCGGGTCAATCACCAGGCTATGTCACTTGGGGCAAGATTGTGGGCTCGTTTATGACCTTGTTGAGGAGGAAATGCTGTACTTGAAACTTCAAATTCATCCATGTAAGTCCCATACTCTTCTGTCTCCAGTGCTAACAAGAAGGTTTATTAAATCTCATATATGAGGAAGCCATGTTAGAAGACTTACATTTTTGTTTTCCAGGTCCATGTGGTGTACCGGGGAGCTTACTAGTATTGCTTCCAGGCTCTGCAGCATTATCATTGTTGACAGACATTGTACTACTTGCTGTCACTAGTGTGGGGTTCTCATGTAGGTATGATGATGGGGTGATCATGAAGATTTGGGGCACTGGATATACGTGACATTTGTAGGTGGGATCTAACTTGTATAGGTCCTATTGGTCTATCGTACAATAGACAAGTTCACTGTAGATTTTAAGAATCAAATGAGAACACATGAGAAAGAACCTACCCATCTAGGTTAACTACTGGAGGCCAAGATTCTTCGCCTTCCACTGTAGGCTCCAATACAGCCTTTGGAACATATCTCCTGGACAAGTTTCCAGAGGGGAACACTTCAATCACAATTCTTCCATGATTGATACCTTGGTCTTCAAGAGCGATGAGTGTACTGTTGGCAGTAAACTCGTCAAAGTTGACAAACACAAGCCTGCAGCCTGGATTTTGAAGCACACACAAAGGTTGCAACAGATTAATAGCACCAGGGGAAGACCTGCTAAGCAGTGAAAGAACAACTCTATGTGGGGCGGAACACATAATAAGAATAATTCACAGTGTAGAAACACTGCAGATTGTAACAGCCAGCTGTGTAGAAAAGTTGTTAGACTGAATAGCCAGCAGTTTAATTAGAAAGAATGAAAAATGAAAAAAAGAGTGTGACAAGAGGGAAGATGGAAAGCACCAGGATTTTGCAAACACAGAGAAATCTGCATAACAAATAGCTAGTGGCTGCCCATGGCAGAGTAATGCTGTTATGTGCTCCAATGCTTGATATGGGAGTTCCTAAGAGGTGGATTTTCTCTGGTTTATCCCTGACAAAACCGGATAAACCCGGTCTCTGCCAAAGCAGCCATTGTTCTCCATGGAGCATAGCCACCACTCCATGGAGTAACCATTGTTCTCCTAGGAGTCATTATACTGTAGCGAGTAGCACCTCCGACTATAAGTAGTAGGGGGTTTAGTATAGGAATACCTCAGTCATTTCTATAGCCTCTTGGGCAACGGCTGAGGTATGTTACATTACATTTATTAGAGATCACCTTAAACTAACATCCATTGTAGTTTCACATAGGTTTATTACAAAATCTTTGTCATTTTTGTCACCAATGCCTCCCTGCCTAAGTAAGCTCTCTAGGACTTCTACATTCCCATCCACTGTTGACTGCTTTATATTCATTGCTCGAAACGGGATCTGATCCGTTTTGTGTACAGGTATTTTTTCAACTGCTTCTGGTTTGCCAAGAACGTCCTTGAAGTGCTTGAAAAAGCTGCTATGATGTACAAGAATATCTCAAACATGCCATGCAAAAGCTTCATAGCGAGGACTAAGTCTTTCAGGATGAGTTTTGCGGCTGTAAGTGTCCTCTTTGTGGAATGCAAGCATAAGTCTGTTGTCATTCATCAGTGGGAAAGATGAAGGTGACAGATTTCTGGGATTACGCTGCCAGAGTTGAGCTGAACAACGCAGAGGCACAGGATCCTGCACGCCAAAAAGGGGAATGGCTGTCGCAGAGGTTGCACTAACAAAGCTTCCACTTTTCTCAACAGTTGGTTGGGCTGTTTTGAAGTCGATGTCAAAATTGTCGTACACAATCGCAGTGCACAGTGAACAAAGGGCCTTTTTCATTCGTGAAGAGGTGTCCTTTGAGAGGGATGCTATGGCTTGGTAGATGGATGATAGGCTGACGGACAGGCCAGCGTGAGAGAGGGTTTCAATGACTGAGGAACAGATGTTGAGTGATAAAATTCAAAGAGATCTAATATAAACCAAATGCTCAGACTTTGTGGGTGAAGCTCTAAGAATGTATTTGCGTACCTAATATAAACCAAATTGTAGGTACAGAGTAAGTATATCACAAAAACAAGGAAGGTATAAGATCCTCACCTCAGACTTTGTGGGCGAAGCTCTGAGGTGGGCGATCGTTGCTACGAAGGTTTTTAAACTCGAACAGAAGTATAACTAAGGGGGTAAATTGCCCCATCAAAACGCATGGGCCATCCTACCACTACACTTTCCTAGTATGGTGTCCTGCACCATACTTTCCCTTCGTATGGCTCGCATTTTCTAACACTCCCCCTCAAGCGGTACGTAGGCCTAATGCAGCCGCAAAATGTTTCACCTTTGCAGAGGGCAAGGACTTGGTGAGCACGTCGGCTGCCATCTCTTCAGTTGGGCAATAAGTAATCTCGATCTTCCCTTCTTCGATGGTATGCCGAATGAAATGGTACCAAACATCAATATGTTTGGTTCGCGCGTGGTATTGACCGTCCTTTGAAAGTGCTATGGCTGATTGATTATCACACAGGAGGATGGTTGGTGGTAAGGCTTGATTGAAGAGTTTGCTGATGAACATCCTCGCCCACAGTAGTTCCTTGGTGGCATGTGTTGCAGCCACATACTCGGCCTCTGTCGTTGATAACGCGACAATTTCTTGTTGCTTCAAGTACCACGAGACGGCGCCACCATCAAGCATCATGGCATAGCCTGATATGGCTCGCCTGTTCTCGTTCATACTCCCATCTGTGTCGGTGTATCCTGTAAGTGGCTGTTCTTCCGGACCGTATGCTAACCATAGCTCTCTGCTCCCTTTTAGGTACTGGATCACCCTTTTTGCTGCCTCCCAATGGGCCGGACCTGGGTTCTCGACAAAACGAGAAAGAATTGCAACAACATGCGCGATATTGGGGTGTGTGCCAATCACCGCATACATCAGTGATCCCACAGCCTCTCGATATGGGACGTTTCGCATTTCTGCGTAGTCTTCAGGCGTCTTGGGGCTCTGATCTTTACTCAGGTACGTGCTAGCAACAATTGGGATCGCTAACATTTTTGCATCTTCTAGGTTGAAGCATTTGACAATAGTGTCGAGGTAGCTGCATTGTGACATGTATAAGGTGCGTGTGCTTCTGTCTCTTTTCACTTCTATTCCTAACATCCAATGTAGCTCCCCCAGGTCACTAACTTCGAAGAGTTTTCCTAGGTCAAATTTCAAACGGTTTATCTCAGTCATTGACGGTGTGACGAGAGTCATGTCGTCTACATGAACTGCAATAATGGTGAGCTCTCCTTCGTTGCGCCTATGAAAAACTGCATGGTCTGTTTCACAGCAAATTAAACCGATTTTCTGGAGTCCATCGCATAGGGTCTGATACCACCTGCGGCTGGCCTGCTTCAGGCAATAGAGTGTCTTGTTTAGGCGTAGGACTTGGGTCTCTTTTCCAGGTGCGTTGTAACCAGGCGGTTGTCGCATGTAGATGACCTCGTTTTCTTCTAGTTCGCCGTTTAGGTATGCACTTTTTACATCCATCTGGTGAGTTTCCCAATCATTTCGAGCAGCCATCGCTAAGATGATTCGTAGTGATGCCATCTTTGCAACGGGGGCAAATGTGTCAAAATAGTCTATTCCTTCCACTTGACTGTAGCCTTGTGCTACAAGCCTTGCCTTGTACTTATCAATAGATCCTGATGCTGTTTTCTTTAGCTTGAACACCCATTTACTCCCTACGATGTTTGCATCTTTGGGTCTCTCAATGTAAGTCCATGTTCCTGCTACTCAAAGCCTGTTCAATTCCTCATTAATCGCTTCTTCCCATTTTGGTCAGTCTGGGCGCTTTCGGGCTTCTTCAATAGTTCTGGGTTCGACGCCTTCAAGATCTGCCATGCGTGCCACCATGGCTACATTTTGGGCGAGATCCCTTAGTGCTTCATTATCTCTCTCTTCCTCATCTCTCCCATACGGATCGTCGACATTCAGTTGGATGCCTTTGGGGAGGGTGGGTCCGTTATTTCCAGATACTGATCCTTTTCCTTGTAGGAGGTTGCGAACATATTGGGTTGGCTGGCAAATGCGGGTACTTCAACGCGGAGCAACTATAGGTGGAGGTGGAAGAACTGGAGCTGGTAGGATGGGATCAGGATCAGCTTGATCTTGATCCTGAGGGTAGAGTGGGTCAGGGATTGCTTGGGGATTGGGTGAATCGGGATGAGGTATGTGATCACTAATTTCTACAATGTCACTCTCCTTTGGCGCTTGGTCCAGGACATCATACTCCCCCTCAAGCCCAAAGGGAGGTTCGTTGTCAGCATCTACAGGTACATTCCCGACGTTGAAATGCACTGAGCGCTCAACAGTGACTGAATGATTCTCTGGCCAATAGATGCGGTGTCCGAGACTTTTGGTATCAAAACCAACCCAGTGACCCCTCCTAGCTCGGCTCTCAAGCTTTGAGCCAGTTGCGTTGTGCATGAGTACGTTGCAGCCCCAATCGTGTAGGCCAGCAAGATCCGGCTTGACACCATGTACCGCTTCAAACGGCGTCATGTTGTCTAGTGCCTTGATGGAGGTGCGGTTCTTCAAGCAACATGCATGTTTGATGGCTTCCCCCCACAGGAATTTCGGCAGGCCACTGCTAAGTAAGAGGGCGCGTACTTTCTCAAGTAGGGTATGGTTCACGCGCTCCGCGACACCGTTCTGTTTGGGGGTGTTGTGCACTGTGAGTTTCCTCATAATTCCTCTATCTCTCAGATAGTCACTAAACGCATTGCTCACATATTCGCCACCCCTGTCGCTATGTAAGACTTTGATTGCTGCATTCATGTGGTTGCGGACCCAGGCCTCATACATTTGGAATTGACAGAAAGTGTCAGATTTATCGCGCAGTAGATAAACATGTGTTTCGCGTGTTTTATCGTCCGTAAAGGCAACATAGTACCGTTTTCCACCCAGTGTTTCGACTGGTGCAGGTCCCCATAGGTCGGTGTGGATCTCCTGGCCATATTCCTGTGCATGCTCACCCAGTTTCACTTTAGGGATTGCCTCGCGCTTGCCCTTGGCGCGGACACAAGTTTCACAGAAAGTGTCTGTTACCCTATCCTCCAGGAGTTCTACCCCATGGATCAAGCCCTTCGACACCATGCGCTTTGCTGCATCAATGGCTATATGGCCAAGGCGCTTGTGGAGTTCAGTGGCAGATATGCGCTCAACAGCTGCATTGGCGCTTTCGTGGCGAAGATTTGTGCCTCGCGACTGGTACACACCACCTACTTTAGGTATGTGTCCTCTTATTTTTCCTCTCGGGTCATAGATAACGCATTCGATTTTCGCAAAGACGGCCTTGTAGCCTGCCTTATCCATACAGCCTATGGAAACTAGGGTGTAGGCCAAATTTGGTGCGTATAACACGTCTCTCAGGCGCACTTGCGTGTCTTTATGGGCGCCATTGGGGACACTAATCATCATATCCCCTGTTCCTACAGCAGAGAAGGAGTCTTGGTTTGCCACGCTTATAGGGTAAGGTGCAATTGTGCGGTAATTGAGTAGGAGGTGTTGATGGGGGGTGAAGTGGCTCGTAGCGCCAGAGTCATAGATTTCAATGGGACTCTTGGGCCTCGCGTTCATGGCGAGTTGGTGAGTGAGGGCGCTCCACGCGCCTTCTTCAAAATCTGATAGGCTCGCGCCGTCGCATTGGACATGGACAGCAAGGTTCGCCTTTTCAGGCTTCTTTCCCTTTGCATCGCCCGTTTGCCCCTCTTCTTTCTTGTCTCCTGGTGAGTCCCCTTTTGACTCATTCTTTGTGGAGCGCTCACGCTTCTCACTTGGGCACTGGTGTGACCTGTGTCCCTTTCCACCGCAGTTCCAGCATTCAAGCTCGCTGGTATCCTTGTTGTCTCTGCCGCCAGATGATTTTCCTTTCTTGCAGCGACCTCTTCCGCCTCGACTTCCACGTTTGGACGATCCTTGTCCTCCGGTGGCTGACATAGCAATGTCCTCTGATTTCGCTGTCGGGCGTTTTCTGAATATGGTCTGTCGGTCGTATTCTTGGAGAAGGTACGAGATCAGTGTCTCTGGGTCCAAGGTCTGCTTTGACATATGGGCAGACGCTGACAGGTGCGATAGGTAGGTGGCGTATGAGTGCGGCAAAGACATGATGATGCTGGAGGTGAGTTCTTTGTCTGCTAGTTGGACTCCTGCTGCGCTGAGCTGTTCCCATAGCGCGCGAATCTTGTCCAAATGTGCGCGCAAGTCTCCTTTCTCGGTGCAGCGTAGGTTCGACAACCTTTCTCTTAGCTCGGACTGAACTAGCTCCGTTTTGTTCTCGTTTTCTTGACAGATCATGACCCACATGTCGGCGACGGTGGGCTTGTTTAGGATCCTTCGCAGCGTCGAATCAGGTATGGTGCGACCTAATATATTTCGCGCGCGGTACTCCTTTTTTACCCAGGCATCAAGTGCTTCTTGATCAGCCTTGCTGACTGTTGCAGGAGGAGATGTCGTCGCTGTGGCCTGGCTAGCAGTCTGGCTAGTGGTCTGGGATAGTGGTATCGGCCTTTTTGCTGTGCCATGGAGGTGCTCGACGCAGTCTCGGTCAGCAAGGGCCCATTCGAGGCGAGTTTTGTACATCGACCAGTTCGAGCCATCCGGCTCGAGCTTTGGCACCCCAAGGGTGTCTTTTTCAGGGTACGTTGTCTCACTCGCAGGGCTCATAACCTCAAAGAGATCTAATATAAACCAAATGCTCAGACTTCGTGGGCGAAGCTCTAAGAATGTATTTGCGTACCTAATATAAACCAAATGCTAGGTACAGAGTAAGTATATCACAAAAACAAGGAAGGTATAAGATCCTCACCTCAGACTTTGTGGGCGAAGCTCTGAGGTGGGCGATCGTTGCTATGAAGGTTTTTAAACTCGAACGGAAGTATAACTAAGGGGGTAAATTGCCCCATCAAAACACACGGGCCATCCTACCACTACACTTTCCTAGTATGGTGTCCTGCACCATACTTTCCCTTCGTACGGCGCTTGTCTTTGTCGACTCGCATTTTCTAACAAAAATATTCCTAGTATTGCTTGAAGGTAATTACATCTTTCGTTCGAGCTTTGAAGGAAGATACTAATGCAAATGACCGTTTTCTAGCTATGGTTACTAGTTGTCAACAGCCTAGTGACAATTCACTCACAATCATCAGCAGCGCAGCATTTCTTGCCCCTGCTCGCTTCTGGCTTTTTTTCATAGGGCTCTCTTCATCATGCTCGCTGTCTCTTGCAAGCTCCTCGGTACCACCCAGTTCGCCAAGGTCATTCTCCACCAGTGGTGCAAAGCCTGCCAGCATGTCATCATTGTTTTGTCTCAGTTTCACGCGCCGATCATTGGGACTTTTGAGAAGCCTTTGTACGACAATCCAAAGGTGCGATGCTATATCTTTCATTTTTGTTCCTAATACCGACAAGAAAGTATCTTCTAGCTGTTCTGTGGTCGCAGTGTTTGCCTTGAAGTGAAGGCCGTGTTGCTCTTGGCTCAGTTCTTCAACCTTCATGCACAATACCCCACTAACAAGCCAAATGCCCATGAAAATACTGACTGGTGAGCGACTGACTGCTTGTGTAGAACAGTACATATCCTTTGTGCATTGCGTATAAGCGACTCCCGGGCTGTTTTGTGACTAGGTTCGTCTCTCTGTAAAACTCCTTGGATCACTCCTGTTGTAGACATGCTATAATGTTACTTAACCGGCACTGCAAACAAATCCACTCTGGATTCTTAAGAGGAAACTCGACGTACTCTAGTTTAATGTAAATATTTCAAGGCAGATAAATCATGCTGCTGTGAGTGAAGTACGAGCACCTAGGGTTATAAATGGTTATAAATACGCAACAGCTTATACATCTTCACGGAGCTCTGCGTGTCCGATCTCCCAGATCATGCGTCTCCGAAGATATAACATGTCTTGTTGTGTAAACCTGAACGATTCCTCACCACGAGCAAGGGAAGCCAGAAACTGGCAGGTGAAGACGCCACAGTCAGACCCATTTTCCTGCTGTGGGGTATCCTGCAAAAGGATGTGTCAGGGTATAGCCAATTTCAAATATATGGATTGATTTTACCCCCGAGCTGTAGTCTTCCCAACCACCGAAGTCAAATGGTTTCTTCTTCTTGCTCCGATGTTCCAAATCAAGATAGTGACGCAGAATCTGTTTAGACACGAAGGATAAACCTAAGAGTGATACCAGCCCTTTACCACATACCTTGAAGACATGCCCCGGATGAAGATTCATACTGTCATATGCTTCTATGCGTTTTCGTCGGAAGTTGATAGCAGCACACGTCCAATGGGAGTTGTTATGGTTAATGGGAATAAGAACAATGTCCTTAGCAAAAAGGTCGAACTGAATGAAAAGAGAAGCAAGTTGTAATCGCTGACGCCTGAGTGAGATCTCTAAAGTAGCCGACCTTTTTCGTCCATTTTGCTAATCTTGCGCGTTCGTATCCTTCCCCTTTTAGCTTGGTCCAGAAAAATGTACTGAAATAATGCACATCTAACGCCTGCGATTTGGGAGGTTTCCTCTCATGCCGCTGCACTAGTGCTGTGGTGGAATTTACTTTGATACCTTCAGAGCGTGCCATAACCATCTGGCCATAGAAATTGATAATCTCATCATTTAGCCATTGACCGGGCTGCAAGCGGCACAAATCCTTATCAATGACCTGTTCTCTAAAAATTTTGGATATAACGCCCTTTTTCGCAAGGAGTGCGTCCACTTCAGCGTCGTCGGGAGGCGGCAATGCAGCTGGCAGAGGTGCTCGCTTGGGCGGTAACTGCTTTGCTATTTCTTCATCCTTTTCTCTGGCGAAAAGACGACGCTGGTCATATGAAGGGATAAAGAGCGGCGCTGGCTTTGGCCTACTGAAAATGGCAAAATTCTGGAAGTAGAAATAAGTAGTGCGACTAACCCATTTAGTGATTCCGCCGCTTTCACAATTGCACGTTGTAAGTGTGTAACTTTCTCTTCCTAAGAGGAGTTTTTAGCGTGGATGTACTGAGCAATTAAATCAAAACCTCCCTCAGAAAAGGGTTTGCTCGGATCTCGTTCGTTTGGATCGGCGATGTGGGCTCTATAATATAATAGTTCTGTAGATTTTGGGCATCAGACGTTAGTAGAAAACAGTTAGTGCAAAGATGCACCTAGGAAGGTATGCTTGTCGCCAGAATATCCTGAGAGAGTTCGTAAATGATGATAGGAAATAGAGATCAAAGAGCATACCCGCGTCGCGCCCACAAAGATATATTTTCTCCTCCATGTCTTTTCGATCCAACAACCTTTTTTCTTGTACTTCAGCTTTGTGCTCTCAGGCGAAAATAAATCAGAGAAGATCTGGGACGAGAAACGGAAAGAATTTACCTGTTTGTCGAAGATGTGCATCCGACACTTCAGGAATTTCATATCATAATACGACAGCTGGTTGCGTTGCGAGGGTGGAGAGGGGAGTGACGACATAGTGGTTGTCGAGGGAAGTGATATAGCATGTGCAGCGAAAGAGCGAGATGAAATAGTGCGAGGAGGGAGAGGCGAGTGGAGGGGGTAGTGTTTAGTGAGGAAATTGGAATGACGACAGAAGGGGTGTGACAGCGAAGCATTGTGGACAGACCAAGGACGAAGGCAGACTGACGATGTATCATCCGAGGATGTGCTACTGTGTGTATCTGAAGGAGGAATGGTGTGGTTGCCTATAAGGCTGGTGTCTGCGACTGTAAAGTAAGTCAGGCGAGGCTGCTTCACTGACCTGCAACCAGAGAGTGTGTCCATCGCCTGTCTTTTGCGCATGCACATCGTTTGTCTTAAAGTGTGTAGACTATCCAGCCACAGTGCATTCACCATAAACGGTCAACGTTCAATGTTCAACTCCCACGGCCACTCAAATGGAGCACAGTTCTTTCCTGGTGACCATAACTAGTTCTTGCTCTCTTTCCTTTGCTCCACATCGACAATATTAATGTCATCGAGGGATCCCCTTTGGTTTTGCCATGAAGTCTGTCCCTGCCTTTGCTCATATCTTGTATTTCACCTGATCTTTCATTATCCGCAGTGCCACACTGAAATGACTCCACTCATGGTCCGCTCGTCCTCGTACTTAGTCTTCTCCGCATCATGTTCTCATCCCACCTTCATTACATAGATGCCAGACCCCATCTGTGCAAACTGTCAGGGCTCTTTTGTGGAGAAGGTTTCGTCCTTATCGCATCCCGTCTGCAAATGCCTTCATTAATACTAGCTTTTTCGCAATTATCATCCATAGATGGAAGATCCAAACGATGATCCGCGTCAGTTTCAACGCCCCGTACACAGAGCCTATGAAGACGAATATCCCTCTGGCATGGATAATTTCTTACGTGCGTCTACTCGTTGCGTTTTTGTGTGATCATACCGTTCACTGGTGCTAGATGGCTTGCACGGTTTTCTGGGCATTCGGCAGGGCCCGGCAGGACGTGGTTCATCATCCGCGCAGCGATCTTCTGCCGCTTCCCGTAGTTCTGGAGGGGCCCCAGTGAGTAGCTTGTGCCGCGTGCTCCTATCGCCTTACACGTCTACTACTTCATCGATATTCAGGCGCGCGGTGGCTTCCGGTTCGAATTGAATGGGGGACCTAGTGCGGGCCAACGCGCCTTCATTTTAGGTGGACCCAACACTCTTGGTCGTCCATCAGAGCAAGTTAACCATAACGTGCTACCAATGTCGGAGTGCGTTGTCATATGTGATAGTCCATGGTGATCTTACACTGTTAAGTAGGTTTCTTCGTCCCAGGGATGATCTTGGACAACCCCATAACGGCAGTGATATCACGGGGCCATTGATGGCTCAATACCTTATGGCAATGTTGGGTCATGGTCCTAGCATGCGGGGGCCTGATCCTTTCGGCGAATTGTTCAACCTCGGTTCTACCGAAGGAGGCGATGGCGGTGGACGTTGGGGAGACTATGTCTTCAACCAAGAAGGTAAATATTGACATCGCCCTACCTGTAAAATTTTATTTAAATATGTCTAATCCCAGCATTGGACCACATCATATCGCAGCTTATGGAAAATTCAAACTCGGGAAGGCCAGTGCCGGCAACAGATGAAATCATTGAGAAGCTCCCCAAAGAGCTGCTGGAAGATAAGTGTGCGTCATGCACATGTTTAAATTCGTATTTTCTGAGGCTTATTTTATTCAATGCATTAGCACCCCTCCTAGAAAAGGATTGTGCTGTATGCAAGGAGACCTTTAAACTAGAGACAGAAGACCCAGACGATCAAGTGGTCGTCTCTCTTCCTTGTAAACATCCTTTTCATCAAGGCTGTATTTTACCGTGGCTTAAATCAAGTGGGACCTGTCCAGTATGCCGGTGAGATAATTTTAATCATTTATTGTCGTGAGGGACAAATATTCAGTCATATATCTCTACATCTGTGTTTACAGATATGCGTTGATAGCACAGCCTCAGTATCATGGGTCAGCTGCTAGCCCAGGACCAGCATCTGGCGGAAGTTCCAATAATCGCCCTCAAAGCCCTCCATCAAACAATCCATCGAGGTCACGGTCATCCGGATCCCGTCGAGAGGGGAGCATAGGTAGTGATCTATCCAACACAGTATTTGGTGGAGGTGGTAGTTCGCCTTCTCGGGTTGACCGGAACTCGAGGTCAAATCGGCGATCCAGTGGGCCAACATCACGAAGTCCGCCTTTTTTCCCCGGAGGCTGGCACGAGTAGTCAGGCAAATGAACGTGAGCAGCCTAACCACGATGTGTAGGCCACTGTTGTTTTTGTTTCCTGTTCTTATATGATACAATTAACGTACTGGGCATCCCGTATCACATTCATAGATTTATGTACTATCTCTTCTCCTGTTCGCTTAGTCTTCCGGGATATTTCTGGGGACTGAGCATAATATTTCATTCCGCAAAGTCATGATACGGTTTCTCTGAGATGGATCGTTCAACAGATGAATCAGTAATGGTCACATCAGCAAAATCACTGGTTCCATGCAGTGCTAGAACAAGTCCAGTTCGAAGTTTTACCAGTCGACAGATGTGTATATGCTACATCCTTAGTGATTATATAATCTGATTGTATAATTATCCGAAAATTTACCGAAACTTGAGTTGAGCATAACACACATGGCCGACTGGCCAGTAGTGGAAGGGCCTTGGGTACCGCCGTTGGCACTATAGTGCCTTCGGCACATGGGCACCCCCAGACAATGATGACAAGGCCCAAGGTGCCTATGGCACCGAAAGATCCCGAGCAACTCCGGGTCTCACCCTGCAGGACATTTGAGCAGCAGTGTCAACAGTTGCAGCTCAAAATAATGAGCATTCAGAGGCAAGGGTTTTGAAAGAGCAAAGAGGGCATATTTAGACAGACAGTGTGAATCTATATTACATGAAATATATAAGTTATATCCCAAAAATCATGGTGCCGAAGTCAGCACAGACTCCTTGAAAGTGTCCATGTCCAAAGACTCGTCTAACTCACCAGGAGCATCCAGACTAACCAGATCATATAGCTCGAGTTCCTCATTTAAACCTCGTAGCAAAAACTCTCCTCTACCTATATCCAAGCTGTATCCTCAAAGTTGAATAGCTGAGAGATTGATACATGTATTTGTCCGAATGTCACAACCTCTGGGTCTTCATCTGCATCCAGACAGCCACGCAAGCCTATGATTATGTCGTCCATTTGCGCAGCTTTTGTTTGAGTATCCCCAAGCGGACATGTTCATCACATAGGTGAAGTCGGAGCTTAGCAAGATCAGTCATTGATTTGATGCTCATTTGAGAGCAAAGCCGGGTGAGGATAAGCCCAAAGGCACTGAAAAGTCTCTCGCAAGAGGCTGAGTTGGCTGAGACAGTGAGTAGATGTCTTGCAAGACGTTCAAGAGGTGTTGGGAGTGGGTTGACTAGGTTGGTCATTGCAATGTAGATGCTCATTGGGTTGACAGACTTGTTCTGTCAAAGGGTAATTGAGTACAAAATTATATTACAACAAGTAAATTTACTTACTTCGCTAGCTGCTAATGCAGTTTCACGCCGAATGTGATCTGGAAGCTTTCCATACTGGTCTTGGTTACTGAGATAACTCACAAGCTCACGGTAGAGCTGAATCGGGGCCTCTTCTTTGTAAAAGCGCATCCACAGCCGACTACAGAGCTCCCAGACTCCTGCTGCTGTCATGAACTTGACACTGGAGCTGAATGGAGATGCCTTGTAGAGAGGATTAAGTATTACTGCAGCAATGAATATGTCTTGGTCTGATTTCTCCCAGTGTTTCTCAATGCTTTTCAGTGTTGCTTGCATGAGTGGGACATCAGTTGGGCCGTTGGGAGTGTTCAAAATAGATGAAAATTTGGAAAATAATATTCCAAAGGTAATCAGGACTTGGTCAAGTCGACAATATGTTGCCTGAGTGATATCTGCTGCAAGTGCAAGTGGTTCAAGGTGTTTTTCAATCCTATGGAAGCCTAAGTGTGAGAAAAATCTCAGACCAGAAGAAAGTCATACCGCACTATGGTGTGCCACAACAACACATTATTAATAGTCTCTACCATTCTGTCAGCCTTCTCTAAAGCCTGTTGGTCTCCAGTTCTGACCAGCCATTCAGCAGGTATTTTTTGGGCATCCACAGCCACAATTTGTTGCAAAGTAAGTTGTAGTTCAAGTAGACGCTGAAATGCAAGATAGTGTGCTGTCCATCGTGTAATCACAGGGCGGATAACAGATTTTGCAGAGCCAGTGAGTATTTTTGAGGTAGAGCGAATGAGAGCAGTAAGGAATGTTTTGCTCCGTATCCATGTAATAAGGTCAATAGCCTTTGTTGAAAAATCCAGATACAAACTGTGCCTCCTTGCAAGCAAAATACTCCCCTACAATGAGGTTAATTTGGTATGCGTAGCAATCTAGGACTATGATTTCAGGCCTATCTTGACAAAGGATTTTTCTTGCCTTGTGAGACTCCCCAGAAGTGTCAGAAGTAAATGCAATGAGGATCACATGCCAGCTAACTTCGAGTATCTCCTGTGTTTTCTTGATGAGTGTATATAGGTTGTTGGCAGTTTTTCGTTCAGAGGACATATCATAAACCTTCACAGTATGAACCTACAACTTGAAATAGGTCATACAGTTATAAAAAATCATAAAGGTGGCTTACCTCACAAGATGCTGATGTGACCATAAACACAATTATGTGGTGTGAGTTGACACCGGTCCATCCATTGCACTGTCCTGTCACAAGCTGTCCGCTAAGGCTTCTTTTTGCCATTTCACGATAGTGTTTAGCCTCTGCGGGAATAAGTCGATTAGACAGGACTTTGCGGCTGATAGGCTGGGCATTTGGAAGGAACCTTTGGCAGAGCTGAATCCATTTAGGCTTTTCAACCCATTGGAATGGTAGACCAGCTGAAGCTGTGAGGTGGGCAAGGCATCGTCCAAACTCTTGCTGCATCTTGATACTCCATTGCAATGTTTGTGATGGTTGATGCGAGAAGCTTTTGCGCCTGCATTTTGATGGAATTGTGGCATGAGTCTGATTAAGATCTGGCAGATATGGGGAAGCTAATGTACTCAGAGATGTACTTGGGGTCTGAAAAGGTGATTCAGAGCTGAAGTGTGATCTCGAAAGTAGCAGGTTTGGAAGAGGTGACAATGATGAGGGACCAGCTTGCTCATAATTGCTGCGGGTTCATTTCAAAGATGGTGATGCTGCTACAGAATAACCACGGTTCTCACATTCATGTCTGGCACGCTGGCGGACAAATTGTGGCTGGTTTGGACAATGAAGAACTAGATGTTGCAGAACTGTGTCTATGCGAGATGGAAGCCAGGGTTTGTTCTCGGAGTGGTCAGCCCACACTAGTGTAGTCATATTAGTCTCATGCTATAGCGCAAATAGTCCTACTTGACAAATTATGACATTTGTTTATAGTATGAGAAAACATGCATTGGCCAGGGCTTGAACCTGGGACTCCAGCTTTCATGGTCTGGTGCTTTACCAACTAAGCTACCAAGGCGTACTTGGAAAGCATACTGATTGGTTGCATGCCCAGAAGGCCCAGAAGGTCCAGAATCACTGTACACGGGTGTGGATCCCATTGTGTTGTGATACTACTTACTGTCACTTTCAATCATTTCCTGAGTACGTGCTGTCACTCTCTTGTTTTGTGTGACATCTTCTATGTCTTGTATCTTATGCTTGTCCACTATTACGGGCCAGCACATGTTACATGCAACTTTTGCATGCTTGCCATCCTTGCTTGCAAATGATGTCGGATCCTTATCTTTGTACTTGGGATGATCTGTAAAGTTATCAATTCTCCACCAATCTCGTTCTCAACCCATTTTTTGGACTGATGATGGACTGCGAGGCTAGGTAAACCAAGTGGTGAAAATCCAAAAGGAAGTAAGTTTGTGCCAGCTCTTCTGTCAGACTTGAGATTATATACAAAGAATGCATGAGGAGAAGGGGCAGCAAACACAATGCAAGCTTTTTGCGGTATGAAAGCCATGCAGTTAAGTCACAGCAATGGTGAACATGTTGATGACAATCTCATTGATCTCCAATCAGGCTGCATGAGCACCTTACACATATGCGATTACTCAGACATAGTGCCGTCTCAAGTACCATACACGTGATCCAGTGCCCCAGAGTGCCACGGAGGCACCTTGGGCACTCTGATAGGCACTGTTCTTGAAGGCACGGCTCATCCAACACTGCGACTGGCACAACTTGTAGTGGCGCCAGATTTGGCCCTATTTGCCCCTCCGCTCCTTCCACTCAAATCAAGCAGGTCCGTGACCGACGTCCGGGGAACGTCAATCGGAGTTGTAAAAATACAAAACAATTCGAATATAATGTACCTAAGCGGTCTATATTTTGCCACGAGTGAAATGGGCTGTGAGTGAGCTGCAAGGATACAGCGTTGTGCAAGGAATGTAAAACACGATTATAGCAACATATATAAGGACCTGACTGCCCTATGCTAACCTAAGAACACCACCACAATGCCAGGAAACAGTACTGCAAGTGCGCTGCCAAATGAGAAGATGAAAAAAAGACTCTGAGTGCTATGAGCGCAACCACCACACGAGAACAAAGAACCAGAAAACAATCGTCATGAATATAATGTACCCCACCCAATGACAACCCTGCCGTTGACTCATGTTGTTCATTCGTCGGAAAGAACCAGCTAAAATTCCTGATGTTTCCGAGAAGGCATCGTTCTTCAAATTTCAAAAAAATAAGTACTCAAATCTCATGAAAGATTAAACAAGACTATTGTACCATCTGTCCGAATTGCGCCGTGGAAGAGCGTACCTCATTCCGGATGCCAACGGTAAGCTAAATATGTTTGTCCAGATTTCGTTTGTAGGGGAACTATACACACTCACATCCTTCAGCTGTCTCAATTTGACATGTAGAGTGTCCATGTGCGTGTCATTTTGACCTTCGAGGTCGTCGAAGAAGCGATTGGGCTGCGGTAGGATGCTGTGGTCAAGTGGAAGTGAATTGCTGAGCCCCGACGACGAGTTCAGGCCCAAAATGGATGAGCGATCACGGAGAACATTAGAGACACTGAATTTGTTGGTGAACAGAAGCAAGATAACTTTAAGTACTGAAGACTGACCGTTGAGACATGCGACAAATAGTGGTATTGGGATGAAATCCTTACACCTAATTTCAGAACGTTAGACCTACGGAATGAGTTAGCACCCAAGGCGTCAAATGAGTAGGCAGAAGGGAAGAGTGTTCATGTTATCACGAAAAATAGGCCTGGGTGAACTCTGCTTTTGCGTGGTGGCAGTTGGCAAACATCACCATACAGCTGGATGCTATAGTGCATTCTGCCCAGGGTCAACCAGGCCTTATTTCAGGCTGATTTTAAAATTTTGATAGGAAATGTAGCTAAATTACTCATTCATACGAAAAATCAGAAAATGTCTATATTACGTAATTGTTCAGATTTTGGGTTGCTGATCCAAAGTGCTTGAATCCGCTGTAAAACATCACGTCAGAATGCCTCCACCAAGAAAAACACAACTGTTAGTGAAGAAGCAGAGAACAGCCAATCAAAAGGGCTTTACCCAGCTTACCGGACACATAACCAACACACCTAGAGATGCAGAATTTGAATATGAGCCAAGTGATGGAGATGACACAGATGATGTGATGACTAGAACTGTAAAGTAAAAGACTCTCAGTCTTTCTGGTAAATGACTGATATATTAATCAAATGTACCTGTAAAGTAAAAGACTCTAAAGGAATGTGTAAGTATGAGTTTTAACTGCAATAATAGTGTTTACTGTACCTCAGTCTTTCTGGTAAATGACTGAGGTGTCTAAGGTAGGATGAGTGCGCTTTTCTGTATCCTAATTAGGAAACTTATGTAATCTATCAGAATGTCGGAATAGTTGAATGAAAGTGACTGCAAGAATGAAGAATCTATTGTAATGTATATAATATGCCAACAACAGATACAAGCCTTACCCATAAAGAAACATTGCCTCGATGAAGTAACAAGTATAGAAGGAAATAATGGTACGAAACCATCAGGGGGGCCCAAAAATTGTATGCCCACCTACACAGGGGTAGGTAGGGCCAGTGTCTAAGTATGACACTTCGAAGGCTTTACAAGAAGCCTCCAAAGGCTGTCAAAAGATCACTGTATTCTTTGACAAGCGGCCTCGGTCTGTCGTTGATGACAGAAGCAGTAGTTTCAAAAGAGAGGGACTGAGATTGGAAGAAGGGGTTGAAAGAATCGGCGAAGGACTTGATGAAGAGGAGATGAGTATTGAGATGGGAACCTGGGGAGAGGTGACAAGCATTGATGATAAAACCTGGGAAGAGATTGAGGAAGGAGACACCAAGTCACCAGCAGAGATGTTGGGAGAAGAAAGAGTGCTGAGTAATGGAGATGAGGAACTTGCAGCAGTGTTCTTGAACCTAAGGACAGATAAAAAAGGGCCTGGGCAAGAAACAGTGAAAGCAACAATAAAGAGGTTGATAAACAATGCAAAGAAGTATCGGGCACATTCGCAGTTAGTAAACTTGCATGCGCTGAAACAATATGTCAACCTGTGGGAGAAGTATAAAATGGTTCCTAGAATCAAATCACCAAAGACGAAGGCCAGTCTGTCTGTTGCTACTTCAATACGGAAGGGTCCATATTTTTCTTGAAAGATCCGACAAATGTATACCTATGTTGAGTGGTTTTGGACATTGCCAGCAGTGTGAAGACAGGTAGACACCAAGGGCACATATCCCTGCTCAACGATGAGCATGTTGTTTGTGCAATATGCCGGTACCTAATGATTTTTGCTAATGGAGAGGTCAGTGTGTATTCATGAAGGTTAGAGCGACAACTCACTGACAACTTATCTGGTACCTGGCTGTTTAGATAACACTGTCACTGCTGACAAAACGAACCAATGAGAAAATAATCCCAGGACTTGTACTCAAATCAAAGCAGAGCAAAGTCTCGGAGGCAACAGCCCGCCGCTGGCTATTTAAGCTAGTATATGAGTTAAAAGAGGCAAAGAAAGGCCTGTATTTTGATGGCCATGAGAAAAAAGATGTTATCGAGTACCGCACCAAGTTCCTAGATGAGATATCAAAGAATGAGAGGTAAGCTGGTTAATAATGATGTTTTCAGTAAACTAATGATGATGCCAGGCTATGATATACCTATGATGATAAAATATTGCAGCCCATTGAACCAGAACTGCAACCTGGAGAGAAGCTGCATATGGTGGTTATGCATGATGAGTCTATCTTCCGAGCAAATGAGTTGCGGTGTTGTGTATGGACCACAGAGGGGAAGATGCCACTATGGAAAAAGGACAAGGCCGTGCAATTCATGTATTGGATTTCATTGTCAAACATACAGGTTAACTAGCATTGACTGATGAATAGCTAAAAGAGAATGGTCAGTTACCAAGCACAGATAAACTGAAAGATACAAATGCAAGAGAAATAATTTTTCCTGGGGAGAATCATGAGGGATGGTGGAATACAGAGCGATTAATAACTCAGGTCATGTAGAGATTCTGTGGATAAGAAAATATTGCTTAGTGAGTACCAGGTCCAACAGATAATCCCAATATTTGAGAGAATATAATCAAATGCTGTCGGTGAGTTTGTGTTTGATCATTTGTTAGCACATGGTGGCATTTGCAAAGGATGCTCTAAATGCAAAAGAGATGAACATTAAACCTGGGGGAAAGCAGAGGAAAATGAAATCAACTTACATAACAGACAACAACCTCAATGTGTCATTGCACAGCAAGTCCCAGGACATGGTGTTTCCACATGACCTCCTATCCAACCACCCTGACTTTGAATTCTGTGGCCAAGCAAAAGGGATGTTGCCAGTCCTGGAAGAGCAAGGCCTTGTTGAAACAATAAGGAGTCACAATAATGGCTGAGTTGTTGGTGAATGTCCAATCTGCAAAATGTCTCGAGAGGCTCAAGAAAAAATGATGAGGGAGAGGGAAGCCGCTGCTGCAGAAGGGGCAGATGAAAAGCTGGATGTTAGATAGTGTGATGGCATCCAAGTAGGGGCATCCAGGTGGTGTTGCATGCAAAAAGTCCTCTCGCTACAGAAAGATTTTATGAGTGAAAGGCCACTGCTCCAGGTGCTTATTAAGGATGCTGGCCATAGGTGCTATTTTCTGCCTAAATATCACTGTGAGTTGAATCACATTGATATGTACTGGGGTTGGACAAAGGAGAGTGAGTGCTAGCTTGTAAATTGCACCATTGTTAAGGGGTTGCCTGACTGTGTCACAGCATGTCACTTTTGTATGTCATTTGACTATGAATCAATGTACAATGGTAATGCCATATCATATGCCAAGTTATGGCTGAGAGGTCCATTCCTTGTAGCACAGTTTCCATCAGTTCAGAGAGTAATATCAGATTTCCCTCATCTCACATTAAATAACTTGTGTAGCATTGCTCATTTGCATGCTATCCCAGTTTCTTGCAGACCTATTAAGGACAAAGTCAGACAGGATGTGACAAAGCATGTCTGCATTGACAGCTGTTGTCAAAAGTCAATCATACTTTTCTGCAAGTGTTATTGTGATCGCTCAATGAAGGAAGCTGTTTGACAGGGTGAGAGACAAGTCAGACAGCAAACTCAAGTTCGCCAGGATAGAGATGTACTCTGCAGTTGATGTTGTAGAGCACAGAACTTGCATTTGTCTCAGCACTTTCCATATGTTGCCAGTGCCAGTGCAAAGCTGGCTATTATTCAGGAATGGCAAAGTAAGATGGCTGCTATTGAAAAATGTTGTCCATGTGCTGTCTGTGCACATAATAAGCCTAAAAAAAGAACTGGAAAAAGTCTATCCTACAGACTTTGACCTGGTGCTACTCAACAATAGATTCCTTCCGCCACACACTTTACCAGATGATTACCACATAGGTCTGTATTGAGGTGCGATATTGTATTCAAAGGGAATGGAATCCCCCTGGGCTTTGGATGACATCTACATGTGTACATTTTGTTATTCTTCTTTTGTTTGTCATGGGAAACAGCCTTTGGATGCACGTGCAAGCTTTCAGTATCATGGTCACTCCACTTTTTGTACTTTTACTTTTACTTTTTCCAAGTCACATGACCAGTCATGTGACAATTTACATTACTTTACATTTTCGGATTTTTCATAGTCACATGACCAATCATGTGACACATCACCTGACCAGTGTCTAGGCTCACCATGTGATTGGTCACATGCTAAACATCGAACTTTAAACTTTATTTACAACCGTACAGTACCTCATGTATTTTAGTATATATACAGGAGCAATACATGGGGAAGGACTCAGCGAGTCCTCCTGTTGTCTACCAACGACTAACTCGGTTGCATCTTAAGGGTAACCGCTCCCTCTCATTACTCTTCTGCTTGTCTGTTGTTGTGCTCCAGTGCCCCAAACCTGTGTATTGTTGTTGTTGTCACAGTCTCAAGCTCAATGGACAAAATGATGATAAGTTGAGCATGAGCTACTAAAGTTAGCTACTGTTACAATACACAATTTTTGGACCTTTAAATTTCATTCTCCTCTTCAACTTTCTTTTGTAGTTTTCACACACTGTTCCATGCGGCACTTTCCATCTTTGTTCAAACTCCACCTTCTCGTGCTGCGCTGCCTTTTCCTTATTTTTAGCTACAAGTCTCTCACGTAGTGGAGCTGGTCACACGGGCTATGCCCCATGACATCAGCAGCCACTGCCTCCATCAACTGTACATATGTACAAACAAACACTGTAGTAGTATATAAACCTCAATAGATCCAGGAGACTCCTTAGCGAGTCCTCCTATTGTTTACCCACAACTAACTTGGTCCTATCTTAAGGGGTAACCACTCCCTTTCATTACTCTTTTGCTTGTCTGAGTTGTGTGCCAGAGTAACTAACTCTTGGTTGTCACAGCTACATCATGAACAAACGTACCAGTGAGAGTGCACCAAAATTTGTGAAAAGTAAGTTAGCCATTATTCCCCAAGATTCTGTGGAATTGTGGGACATGCTTCCTCCAAACTGCACTAAGATTGCGGAGGCGGTATGTGCATTGTTCATGGGTAGTGATACACCTGTGATGAGAAAGAATATAGGTGCATTGTTACCTGTATTGGTGAGCAGGAATGTTGTCAAGGTGTTAATTACTTTCCTTGTCAACAACAACCCTTGGTATCGTGCATCAGGAGTATCCTTCAATTTCAAGAACCTGGAGGACTTTTATGAAGGTGAACAGGCCAGAGACTTGCCACATGCTGTTGAATTGAATTTTTTGCTGAAGGAGAAAGCTTGTGCAAGTAACAGTGCTTGTGCAGACTACACTTATCAAGCGGATAATCTGGGAGAGTGAGAGCCTGATGCTGACTTTCTGATGGAGGCTGTTGGTTACACTGCTGGAGATCACTCTCCGGAGTCTTATTGTGTAATGAAAGCCACTGCATTGGCCCACTGCTTGGATGGAAAATGATTTGTGCAGATGCGTAGTGCAACACACCTTTGGACGATCGTGATCCTGCTTTGATGAGCTACCTCTTCCTGCATCTTGATCTATGGGGAATCATGTTGTTCCACAAAACCAATCAAACACCTACTCAACATATATTTTTTGATCGTCAATTGTGTAATCTATTACTGCAAGATGATCCACCATTTGAAAGTGATCCAAACTTTGTATTCATATGCTGGAATATCATGCAAAAAAGGGAGGTTAGTGCTCAAGCAAGATTCTGAGTTTCTGCACATCAACAAGATCAAGTTGCAAAAGACATTCTGGAATGTGCTCTGGGTTTGACTGACATGATTTGCAAGTGGGAGTTGGATCCACATGCACAGGCCAACATGGATTATCAGTGTAAAGTGTTGCGTCTATTGACCCGACTGAAAATGTTAGTAAAAGGCGTCAAAGGCAGCACAGGGTACAAACTATGCAGATACAACAAGATTTGGGCCTTGATCAAAGAGTTTGGCACTCCTGCTTTGTTTATCACCATAAATCCTTTGGACATCAATCATCCGCTTGTAGGAATATTGGGAGGCATCCAAACCTATTACAGTATGGTTGAGGCACAAGGCCGTGGAACATTGCATTATCACATGTTAATCTGGTTGAAAGGAAATCCCAACCCTCAGAAGCTCTGAATTCTCATGAGTGAGGACATGGCTTACCATGATTCCATAATAAACTGGATGGAGTCCATAATATCATGTGAACTTCCAGGCACAGCTTCATCCGATAGCTCTGATAGCACATTGCCCAATCACAGACCTCTCTTAGCTGAAGGTCAAGTGGATCCTTAATTAGCCGACCCTCTAATTTTAGGAAAGGATGAAGACACATTTCAGGGGGATTCCGCGCATTCATCTCGGACTTGGCAATTCAATGTAATTGGCACCACCACACTGAAACTTGCTGGAAACATCTGAAAAAGGGTCAACCACATAATGATGAATACTGTAGAGTAAAAATATGGCAGAACACAAGCACTGACTGAAATAGATGTGAAGACCCAATCCATACTCCTGCGCAGACTACACCCATGGATCAATAATTTTCACAAACTCATCATCTTTCTCTTGCAATGTAATATGGATATCAAATACATAGGTTTTGAAGAGTCAGCAAAAGCTTTAGTTTATTATAGTTTACCTGTTTATGTAGGCATGGATGCTTTGAAGTAGGCTATGGAAAAAATGAAAAAAAAAAAATAATGGAGTCGATAGAGTGGGCTGCACATAAAAAAAACACAGTCTGTTCACTAAAAGTGTCAATGTGATCATCATGTCCCAACAGAAAATATCACACTAACAAGTGTTCAGTTACATTCTTGAAGGAGGAGACTTTTACTCTAGCCACTCCTTCAAAACTCTTCGCTTCTATGAATTTGATCACTCTGATCCGACTCTGGAAATAAAAACACAAACACAACAACTTGATGAACAGGCACACAACATTGATGCTGTGGATGATGATGATAACTTACCTGAAGAGTCTCTTGCCTCTGAAGAGGTTGTTGTATTGGTTGATCATGAATCTGTATCTGTTTCCAGTCAATTGATTGACTATCACATGCAAAGCGTTGATGATCCCTTTATTGAAATGAACTTGTGGGGGTACACAGAAAAGGCTAAGAAAATCGGTCATACTGCTGAGCTTTCCAGGCTGGGAAGAAGGGATCATGCTCACTGTGAAATCACAGAAAGCTCATCAGGAACATCTTTGAGACATTTTGGCTGACATGCTTGTTAGTTTTGGTGATTCTGCACCTAGTTGTGCTATCTATTTTCCCTTCTTTCTAAATCACTTTCTTCTTTATTCTTTTTGCTGTATTGTTCAGTATTCACTGAGCATTCTATAATTTCGCCTTTGTGGCTGATTTGTTTACCTTTGTTTACAAAACTTCGGACTAGTATTGCAGAGTCCAGTATTCCTATTCTTTAGTTACTCATGACAAAACCGGATAAACCCGGTCTCTGCCGAAGCAGCCATTGTTCTCCATGGAGCATAGCCACCACTCCATGGAGTAACCATTGTTCTCCTAGGAGCACAATTGTACTCCTAGGAGTCATTATACTGTAGCGATTAGCACCTCCGACTATAAGTAATAGGGGGTTTAGTATAGAAATACCTCAGTTGTTTCTATAGTCTCTCGGGCAGCGGCTGAGGTATGTTACATTACATTTATTAGAGATCACCTTAAACTAACATCTATTGTAGTTTCACTTAGTTTTATTAGGTTATGAGCCCTGGTGCGCAAAAGCTACGCAGGAAATAATTCTTATTTGAAATGGCAACCTCGGAACCATGACCACAGCACGCGATACATCCGCATGTCCAGTTCTCACTGGACCCAACAATTTTCAGATATGGAAACTCCGGATCATCTCAAAGCTACGTCAGGAAAA